TCCCAGCATGTTACTGGGCAGGGTGTGCATAGCTGGGGCCTGGAAATCCCACTGTGTCTGGGCAGGGCGGGGTAGCCAGGACCCAGGACCCGGGAGTCCCACTGTGTCTGGGCAGGGCGGGGTAGCCGGGACCCAGGACCTGGGAGTCCCACTGTGTCTGGGCGGAGTGAGCATAGCTGGACCCCCAGGTCCTTGAGTCTGGGCTGCATGCCGTCTACTCACTCGTGCTCTTTAGCCTCTCAGACCCAGCCCTGCAGGCCACCTTGAGCCTGGGTGCCGGCCCCAGAGAAGGAGCTGACGTGCTGACCTGATTGGGCCGACAACCCCAGCAGGAGCTCCAGAGCTCCCGGAGCCATCTGGGGAGGGCAGGGCAGCGTGACCAGGTCTGCACAAGTGCTGAGAGGTGGCCGACTGCGTGGAACACCGCGCCCTTGAGAGCCCTCAAACCCAGAGAGGCCTCGCAGCTCTCAGGGTACTTCCAGGCTTGAAACCGGGGCTCCCCACGGCCTCCTTCCTACAGGGCACGGACGCCTACAGGCCCCTTCTCCCCACCCGGGTCCTGCCGCTGGCAGTGTCCTGTCGGCAGTGAAGGCGGAGGACAGCTGGACCCAGAGCTCCCCTGGGCCCACATCCCGTCAGCTCGGCCAGCAGCCCCATAGCCCCTCTGCTCCTGGAAACGCCAGAGGGCTCTGCGTGCCCAGCTGGGGCCCCACCACTCAAGGTGAGGCCTAGAGTCAGCCTTTCCAGTCTCCTTGTGGTGCTGCTCAGTCCTCGGACAGAGCCCCGCCCCGCCAGCCCACAGGGCAGGAGTGCCTGCTCATCTTGGGCCTTCCTTCTGAGGCAGTGGGACCTGGAGCCCACGACCCCTCCAGCCAGGCCTGGCCAGGCCGCGCCTGTTTCAGGAGCTCCATTTGGCAGGTGTTCTGGCTGAGGAAGCCCCATGCGCGTGGATCCCACCCTAGGGCAGGGGGCAGCTTCCTTCATTCCTTCCAGAGAGCAGAGCACGTATCCCCACAGGAAGTGTCCTGCCTGGCTGCTCCCTGAGTGCTGCAGGACTGTCACCCTTACAGAAGGTCAGCCTGGGATGGCCATGCTCGTGCAATGGTGACAGGGCGATTTCTCCGTCCCAGCCAGCAGTGCCTCGAGCTCACCCCTGGAAGCTCTGGAGGCCTGTCTGAAGGGCATTGCTCCAAGTGGGGTGCCCACTCCCCAGCTGTCGGCCCCCTCTTGGTCCTGGAGCCCCCGGCTGGGAGACCTTAGGTCCCACAGGCCTGAGCTGCAGCCCCGTGGATCACACAGTGAAGGTAAACTGTGGCCTTGGGGTGGTGTTTGTCCCTGTGTGTGGCACGGAGGCCACCATCTTCCTTAGCTCTGGGGTTATATGTCCCCCCAGCCCCCTTCCACATCTGCTCACAGTTTCCCAGGTTGCCCAAAGCCAGTTTAAAGCTTCCTGCCAAGCACGGTTCACATTCTTTCTCTAACCACTCAGGACCCACGGGGTTCTCCTGAGTTGAAGTGCTGTGGGTTTGTCAGAGGGGACTGCAGTGGGAGGCACCTGGGCAGGGTCTCCTGGTGCCCACCCACACCGGGGCCTGGGGCACTCTTTGACAGGCTGTCCTATAATCTCAACTGTGCTGTTCCCTGCAGCGGCGACCAGGGAGGCGCTTCTGCCTCCGGGCCCCACCCGGCCACCCTGCCCCCGAGGCACCCCCACCAGCTTCTCACCCAGCAGCACGGATGACGCGGACCTGGATTTTGGGAGCCCTGAGGGCAGCCAGGGGCAGCAGACTGGGAAAGGTGAGCTGGGCCAGCCCGAGCTGGAAGTCCGTACCAAGCAGGATGTGAGTACCCTTACCTGCCAGGTCAGACCCCGTGCCCATGCCAGAAGTGGAGCAGACTTGTGTTCAGTGGGGTGGAGGTGTGGAGGGTGAGGGGTCCAGTTTAGCAACATGACTCAGCAGGAGCAGGACAGTGCCAAGAGCTCTGTGAAAATCTCCTTTGTACTGAAGTCTCCCTTATCGCACCCCCAGACAAGTGCCCTTGGGAGCAAACTGCTCTCCGACTTGGGGAACAGTATTGTGAGGGTCTGTGAAAACTCAACATCATGACCTGTGCCTCCCTGGGCCCCTCTGAGCAGTCACTCCTGGGGACTTTGCAGGAGGCCCCAACTTTCTCCTCAGCCTCCCCCTGCAGTAATCTGAGTTCATAGTCTGTGCACTGTCCACAGATGCCGCGCCCCTGGACAGTGCCCTGTCCTGGCTGCAGCTCTTAGCAGAAAGGTCTAGAGCTGCGGCCAGGCCCATGGGGGACGTAGTACAGGCCCGGAACCTTCCGTGTCATCGCCTGCTGGCACCCGAGCCCACCAGGGTTAGCCTCCTCTGTGTGCTGCACTTCCCCAAAACACAATGGACTTTGCTTTTTAAAATTATTATATTTTAAAAAAGGAATTCTTTAATTTTATTTATTATCATTATTATTATGTAATTTACTAGAGGGCATGTACACACATCAGAGAGAAAGAAAGAGAGAGAGAGTGAGAAAGCAAGCTGCCAGGTCCAGGACTTGAACTATAGTCGGCCTTGTGGGAGTCCAGTGTTCCAACCACCATGCCACCTGCTGGTCCCTGGACTTTGCTTTTAATGTTTATTTTTCATTTCACGTGGTTTTGTTCAAAGCTGCTAAAGGGTGCCGTCTCCCTGCGTCCCTGGCTCTAGCCCATCCTCCCGAGGCAGCCACACCGGGAGCACTTTTCATCGAGGTGCACAGGAGGTGCCTGTGCGCAGCCCGCTGGTCCCCTCGCCCAGACGGCCGCATTCCAGACATGCTTTCCCCACCTTGCTTTTCATCCTGAGGGTTGTCTTTGACATCTTACTACCTTTTTTTTCTCTGATTGCCAGAGGGTGTATGCACTTGCCAGAGAGACAGAGAGCCAGGGAGAAGGCTCTCCTCAGTGGGGCGTGGTCATGCCACAGTCCCTTCTCCATTTCTCCATCCTGTCTGGATTTGGGGCACACACATGCACGTGCCTGGTGCATCTCCTTAAGTCACCAGGGCTGGGATTCAAACCACGGTGGGCCGTGTAGCATCCCACTCCCTAAGCCACTAGGCCACAGGGCCAGCCCCTCTTTGTGTATTGTCTGTGTATTCCTTGGCCTCAAGCACAGCTTCGGACTGGGACCAGTGGCACGGCGCCCCCAGCACCTGCTCGCGTGTCGTGGTCATTGGACCGTGTCGTAAGTAACCCACATCGCAGCAGGCCTCACACCGCCTCTCAGGAGCTGCCAGCCAGCTCCCATCTCCCCGCCACCCCAAACTCAGCAACCATCCCATGAGGAGAGCAGCATTTGGAGGTCCTCTCGACACTCCGCCTTCTGGCAGCCTCACAGGGCAGCGAGCTGCCCCGATGCCCTCTTCTCACTGTCTAGATCGTTGGCGGGCACCTGCCAGCTCTCAGAGTTTCAGTCCAGGGCCAGCCAGTGGCCTGGTGCTTAAGGTGACTGGATCCCACATGACTTACTGTGCGGTTCAAATCCCAAACTTGGTAGGCACATGTGTGTGCCCAAAATTCCAAAAGGAGAGTGGAGACGGGATTGTGGCATGGCCATCCCCTCAGGGGTGGGGGGAGTGCTCTCCCGCGTTCCCTCTCTCTCCCCATCTCTCTGGTGAGTGCACATGTCCCGTACAGATTAGAAGTAACAATGATACGCCACTTCATCAATTCCGTTGCTTGTACAAGCTGTCACTGGAACCACGACCTTGCAGTGCGTTTGGTCTCGTCCTTCTGGAAACTGTGTGTTGGCCTGCCATGGCCACCACATTGTGCTCCAAGGCGGCAGAGCATAGAGTGTCACCCTTGGAGTGGCGGAGGAGGTCATGGCGTGTGTGGGCAGGTGGCGTCATCCCTCACCATGGTGGCAGCCGGGTGTGTTGAAGGAGCCGAGGTCCCACAGCTGTGGCCAGTCTCCCTTGACAGCCCCAGTTCAGCTTCTGTGGGGACTGACACAGGGCAGGCTTCTTCTGGGGCAGCCTGGGCAGAAGCCCCCAGAGCCAGAGCTGGTTAATGTTTGGGACCAGGAGTCCGGTGGGGCCTTGAATGGCTAAACACCTTGTGTCCTGAGCCTCCCTCATGACCCCCACTGCCCTGCACTCAGAAGAGGCGAGATGCCTGAGCTTTGTGGGGTCTGAGCTGTAGCTGGCCACATCTGCAAATTTCTGACCTTTGCAGGAAGCTCAGTGGGCAGCTCCCCGCTGCAGGGCCTGGAGAACTGCCTCAAAGAGATCTCCATGCCCAGGCCACGGACCCCCTGGGCCTGCTCCTCAGCTGCAGCCAGGACACCAAGGAGAGTAGAATCCGGGGACTGTATGGCAGACAGGGAAGGTAACTGGCCTCCATGGCGCCGGGTGGGACAGGTGGCCCCAGCACTGCCACCCTGGGCACTCCGCCCCAAAGGCCCAGGGTACCCCTGTGCTGAGCAGATGCTCGGCAACAGACCCAGGAGAGGTGTCCAGGCCAGAAAGCCGGAGGGCCCGGTCCACACCTGGAGCAGACCTGCTGGTGTCTGTGGATGGGACACCAGCTCTGCCATTGGCCCTGGCAACTTGGCAGGCCCCTAGGAAAGCCACAGGCGGGCATTTCCCACCTACCACTGAGTCCCCGAGATCCCCACACCACCCCCGGGCAGGAGTCGGTGCCTGTCCTGTCATCGGTGCCAGCTCCAGGCCCATGCACCAACAGGCTTCTTGACTTCTCCTTAAAACAGGACCACGGGGCGAGTCCAGCGAGCCAGCCTATCTTGGACAGGGTGAGGGAGAAGGGCGCACCAGACACCCCCACACATTCTCCTCCAGCCATGTCCCCACCTGCCCCCAGCGAGGACTCAGCGACCATGGGGCCATCAGACCAGGAGCATGGAGGTGGCACCAAGATGGTGAGTCTACGTCTGCCCATGGTACCACTGGGAGTTAGAGTGTAGTCCCCCTCTGTGCCATCCCTGTCTCATAGCCTTCCCCAAAAGATGGAAGCTGGAGCCTGGCAGAAGCCACAGTGAGTTAAAGAGGAAGCTAAGGTGACAGGAAGTGCCAGCGAGCTGGGGATGGAAGATCTTCGCTGCTGTTTCCACCCATCCTTGAACTTCTCCAGTGGAGAAGCTGCCTGGGGGTGTGGGGTTCTCCCTGTCCACAGTCACTGTGTGGTTTAGCTTCCAGCAGCGCCCTCCCCGGGCCTGCTGCCCTTCCAGGAGGACCCATGGGAGGTAAACATGAGAACCCAAGTTGGGCCCGCTGCATTTTCTAATCTTCCACCAGACAGGACTGGCCTGACAGCCTCTGCTCTAGGCCTGCTGGTTGGTTCCTGTGTGATGCTGGGGTGCAGGGGGAGCAGCCTGACAGGCAAGAAGGCGCCTGGCTCAAGAGACCCAGGAGACTGGCGTACCCTGGGCATTACGGAAGGCCTTGCTGTCGTCCGGCTGAGAGACAGAGAGCTCTGTTGTCATTTGACCAGGGGCAGCTACCAGGCCCTCCCCACTGCACTGCCTGGAGAACTCGCTGAGAGGCATCTTGCCGGTGAGGCCCTTGCACTTCGCCTGCTTGGCCAGCCCTGGCCCCAGCCCCAGCCCCAGCCCCAGCCCTGGCCCCTGCTCCAGCTCAAGCCTCAGCAGTTCGGAAGGAGAAGACCTGGGGTAG